TGAAACATCTGCTTTATGTGTTAGGATGACCCTCCTTGAACAGGGAGGTCGGACCAGAAAACCCTTCCAGCCTTATCCACCCTGTGATTCTGTGATGTGGACAGTTTCCCCTTTTTTTTTTTCATTTAATCACATGGGTGAGGTGGCATGAAGACACATGGAATATGTTAAAGATGGAATTTAGTGGGATGTGGGAGGAAGGGCCAGAATCCCATAAGGAATAACATTGCACTTCAGTGGGCAATGGGAAGCCAGAGGTTGGAAAACACTGGCCTGGCATTATTTGATGTGTTGATATGACTGAAAGAAGGTAACGTATCGTTTGCCTAGGAGAAAACTAAGAGTTCTCTTCCGACCTTGCCCAGCTGGTCCTACACCAGTATAACACTGCTCTGTTCCAACCAAGAGACTCTTGATTACAGCAGCATCGCACAGAGAGATGATGTTAATTGTGATGTTAATCATGATCAGCATGGATGTTAATCATGACCCTGCAGACAGCCCAAGTATGAGTACAGCTTCCCACATGACATAACCAAGCATTAAAATAGCTACCAACCTGCAACAAAGAAAGTGAGGAAGTTATCCAGAAGGCTTTCATCATCTCTAGTTTCCTCCAGAGCTGTCAAGACAGAAAAGCAAATGGGATTAGAAAAAGCCCCTGTGCCCCAGCTGGACCAGCCAGAATGCTCTGCCCTGTCTGGCACATACTGGCTGAGGTGGCATCAAGAGGGAATGCTCAGTGGGCATTTCAGTGGTGACTTGAGACCAATATTTGATCCAACACAAAGAAACAGGGACTTTTCAAGGCAACTCTCACTATCTTCAGTGTGAAAAATACTTCTAATGAGGATCAAAGTTGACATCCCCAAAACAATCCCCACCAAATCTTATGGCAAAACATGCCACAGAGAAATTCACTCAACCAGCAATGTGTCCCTTACCATCTCCTTTCAGTATCTGTGTAAGAATATCCAGTGTGGCTTCCTTCCCATTCTGCATGGCTTCTCTTCTCTGGTCAATGCATTTCTTCCCCACACTCCGCAGCAGCCTCACACTCTCCCTGGCCTCCTTTATCAGCTTCTGTTTCCCTGGCATGAACTGAATACAGAATTTCTTCAGTCATTTTATTCCTTTTGCTGATAAAAAATAATGTTCTTTTACAAGTGAGCACCTTGTTCTCTGCTAAATGACACTCGTCACAAAAACGTCTGCTCTCCACAGAACAAACTGAATGCCCTCAGGGTGAAGGGTTTGGGTTAAAATGAGAAATAATTCAGTCTGTGCATGCTGATGTCTTGCCTTGTCAAAGCTGATGTTTTGGGCACTGTGAGCAAAATTCCTCACTTCTGCATGGGAAAAAACTGCCACATGCAATACAAAATCTCACCCCTGGTCCCCAAAAAGAAACCAGGAGGTCTATAAGCCTGAACTACAATTTTCATGAGACACTGCAATGATTTCTAACTTAAATACTTCATATTACATCCATAATTTCCTAGTAGATGAATTTGAGTTGAAAATTAGGGGTTTTTTTAATGGCAAGAATGCTCATGTTTCTCCCATCTTGAGTGAAGGCTGCCATCCTTCTTGGACAAATGGCAAAAGTCTCAATTTTTAATGGGCATGAAAGTTTTAAACCACAAGAGGAGACACATGCAATGGGGAAGAGAAGAGAGAAAGGAAGCATAAAATGTTAATGTTAATTTTTCAAGTGTTTCAAAGCACTAATGAATTTTATCTTGATGCCCATTGGAGGGAAAGACCTACAGGTGACTATTTCCCCATAGTATATGGAGCTTGCACAGCTCCAGCCCACTAATTCAAGCAGGAGCAGAGACTCCAGCTGGATGTGAGGAGAGAGGACTGAAGTGAAGAGTGTACAGACCCGTATGAGGGGGATGCGTGCCTTGGTCATTCCCTCCAAAACCATAGTCACAGCGTGAGGTAAAGGTGTCTGGTCATCACTCAGTGCATTTAATTCCAAGCCAAAGGCCACCTGAGGAGCAGGAGAGAAAAAGGCAAGTTGCTGCAATCTCCTGGTTCCCTGTGCTGAGGTGAGAGAGCAGGAGAGGCTCACACCACTGTCTTTTCCCCTAAAAATATCTCAGGCTAGATCCTGCCTTGCAGGAGACTGCGAGGGGAGGGGAATATCACATCCCTCCTGATTTGGGGGGATTACTAATTTATTATTGCTCTCCATCCATCCCAAACTGTTTTGCATAGAGACAGGAAAAGGCAGTGTAAGGCAGACTTCATGCTGACATATAATGGCAATAATACAACATCCACACATGGATGGGCACTGTGTGTGCCCGTTTTGGCATGGAGGGCTGGGAGCTATGATGCTGTAAAGGCTTTTGCCAAGGGTCCCCATCCTGCAGGCCACACCCATGGATCAGCCTGAATGGAAGTGGCATAATTAGTCCTTCAGCTCTTCTGACACTGCTGGGTAAAGGGTTTTTTCCCTGGTTCCAGCTCCTGATTCCATCCTGCTGGTGGTGCCCATTACTTCTATTCCTTCCTGTCAGTTGCAGAGGAAACAAGAAAGTGACAGCTGGTACCTTTGCAATGATATCCATAGTCACACGGCTCATCATCGACAGCATGCTAAACTCTGTTTTTCCATCTGCCTTTTCCTCTAGCTTCTCCATGAGCTCCTCTGCTTTTTCATTAAAAGTTTCCATCAGACCAATCAGGTAGCTGAACAATCAATAAAGATGAGTGATGGGGGCTCTGGAGGGGACAACTTTGCTCAGGCAAAATAACCTTAATTATTTTCCATAGAAAATCCTGAAGGGTTTTTTTTTTTAATTTATAATCAATTTGCTCTATTACTTTTAGAAACAAACAGATAAAATGAGCTACATTCTTCTTACAGCAGCCCTGCTCCACCCTGCCATGTAAGAAATGTCTGCCATGGCAAAGGGCTGTGGCCTGTGCATGCCAAAGTACATGGACTTTACCTTTGAACCCTATGTGCAAAGCATCAAGGCACACACAGGAAAACAGACCAACCCTCTGCCTTACCCTTTCCAACAGGATAAGGCAGACATCACCATGTTCCTGGATACACAACCCTGGGATCTTTCTGCCATTGCTGAGCCCATAGGAGGAGCCAAGAACTCCACATGGGGAGTATTGTGTCCAGTTCTAGGCTCCTCTGTTGGATAGAGATCAGACGAGGCACCAAGCTGGCTAGAGGGGTGGAGCCGAGCATCTCTGAGGAAAGGCTGAGGGAGTTGGGCTGTTCACTCTTGAGAAAAGATGACTGAGAGGGACTTCATTAATGCATTCAAGGACATGAACGGCAAGTGCCAAGAGGATGATCAGACTCTGCTCAGTGGTAGAAACCAATAAAACAAGAGGGAACAGCAAAAACTGATGCTCAAGAAGTTCCACCTCAACAAGAGGGTGCAGTCACTGAGCACTGAACACACTGCCCAGAGGTTCACTCTTGAGAAAAGATGACTGAGAGGGACTTCATTAATGCATTCAAGGACATGAACGGCAAGTGCCAAGAGGATGATCAGACTCTGCTCAGTGGTAGAAACCAATAAAACAAGAGGGAACAGCAAAAACTGATGCTCAAGAAGTTCCACCTCAACAAGAGGGTGCAGTCACTGAGCACTGAACACACTGCCCAGAGGGGTCATGGATTCTCCCTCACTAGAGGAATTCAAGAATCATCTGGACACAATCCTGAGCCATGTGCTCTGGGATGGCCCTGCTGGAGTAGGGAGGTTGGACCAAATGACCACTGTGGACCCTTCCAACCTAACTGATTCTGTGATTCTGTGATAGGGGTGTCACTGCACCATGGGAAGTCTGGTAAAATTATACTTGACATGGAAATGGTGTGCTAGAGTCTAAGTAAAATGTGACTTTGCCATTAAATGTTTGGGGTTTTTTTTCCTCTAAATACTGAATAATGAAAGGACAAATCATGAAAATACAGCAGAAGTAACAGCTAGATCACCCCAGAAATATTTGCCTTACGTTCGGCTGAAAGCTGGATCCATTATCCTCCGCTGCTTGTGCCAATTCTCATGGTTGCAAACAGTTACCAAGCCATTCCCTAGAAACCTAGCATGTAGGAAAACAAGAAAAGGAACAGTTTTCAGCAAGGGAGCCAGCTGA